CCCCGCACCCCCGCCCCTTGCCGCAGGGACCCAGGCGCCCCGACACGAGTGCGGCAACCGCAAGAGCTGTCCCAGCGACCACTTCGCCTTCAGGCTCATCAGCGGCGCCGCCAACCTGGTGGGACCCTCCATCTGCTTCAACGACCAGATGTAAGCGGCCAGCAGGACCGGGGAGCAGGTTCAGGGCAGGGAAATCCTTGGAAACTCCCCAGCTGCCGGGCTCAGGTGCATTTTAGCCCCCTGCGGCCATGCTTTGGCAGCCCATACACTGCCCTGCACTCACCGCCGGGCACTCTGCCTTCCCCCTCCAGCCTCATGAGCAACGTGAAGAACAACATCGGCCGCGGCCTCAACATCGCGCTGGTGAACGGTGAGTGGGCGACACGTGGCAGGAGGGAGGCAGAGTCACCCTCTGGCAGAGCCACCCGCCAGCCCCGTCCCCAAAGCCCCGGGGTCGGCTGGCACCAGCCAACAAGCTGGTGCAGCGCCTGGAGCAGCTCCCTGGGGAGCCTCGCACCTCACCGGGCTCCAATTTAAACTGCCAGGGTCGACGGGACAGTTGCTGAAAACAGGCACGTTCGACATGTACTCGGGAGGTAAGGCGGCCGCCCCGCGCGGGGACCCGCTGCCTTCCCCAGGCGCTCACGAGCTACAATTTCGCGTGCAAATGTTATAAAAGTTCACACCTTGGTCACGCCCCGGGAAAAGCCGCAGCAATTCCGTGCCATCCCCAGCGGCGCTGGGTGCGGAGCCCAAGGAGCCACGGCGGCGCTGCTGGCACGTGTGGGCGGGAGCAGCACCTCCCCGTGCCCCACAGGGGCCACACCAAACTCGTGTTGCACCTTAGCCCTGTCCCTGCGTCAGCACTCCTCAAAAGCATGTGCTTAAAGGTGAAAAACATACCTGTATATAGTGCTTTTTATTTACCCTTTCCTGTCCAAGCACCTAGAGGATTCACCCTTGATGCTTTCTAGTTTTCTTAGCAACTCTAGTGTTTTGAGGAGAAAGGCAGGAGTTTCTAGAAGAAGCACCAACGTCACAAGACTCAAACAGGCGCCCAGCAGCAGCAGAGCTGGCAGGGGGCAAGCTCACGGGCCAGGCAGGTGCTGGAATTGCCTCCTGGGCTCCTGAACTGAGCTATTTTCGGGAGAGTGCTCCCAGCTCATAACCCCAATATCCAATATGCCAGTCAACCACATCCCTGCTTTTCCCTATTTGCTAAGGGTTTCCACACCTGCCATGCAGCAGT